CTTAAGTGTGAACCTTCCAACTGATCTTGAGGAACCTTTATCGCTTGGGCCTGGGGAGGTCAAGTCTGCAGGGAGCCTGATTATACCACTGCACTTCAGCCTGGGAGACAGAGCCAGACCCTGTCTCCAAAAAAAAAAAAAACACACCATTTACAGGGACTTAGAAAAGGGAGAGTTTCCAGTGCTACACACAGTGGTTCTATACATAGCTTAACGGTTTCCAGTTCTTTGCTGGAACTTGATTTGATAGTTGAGAGACACAGGCATCGGGGCTCCTGAAGGAGGTGCACACTCCCATCGGCGCTGTCAGCCGGGGACAGCGCAGACCCCGTCCTCACTCCTCCGCTTGGCGATTGGGAGAGAGTGCTCATGGCATTGAGGGGATGGGGCCAGGGATGCTTGCCAAATATCCTACAATGCATAGGACAGCTTCCCCCCGCTGCAAAGGAAGAATTCTCCAGCCCTATGTTAGAGTTGAGCTTAAGAAACCCTGCTTTAAACCAGGCTCTAGACTTCCAAGGGTTCTCACAGTGCCCTTTCTAAATTGAGAAACAGAGGCCGGGAGGATCCGGGAGAGAGTGCTGGGAAAGATAAACTTACTTTCTAGCAGGCGAGGCTGTGTTGTTGGTTCCGAGTTTCTGATCTCATTGCTGGTAATGGTAAGAATCTTAGTGGGTTCCAGGCTAGTTCATCTGCCTGCGAAACCTTTTGGGAACTTGTTCAAAATTGGTTTGGGCTTGAGTGGGCAGTTTGTGAGTTTTTACTTCTTATCATGAACTGGCCATAGACTGGTTGAAGGCCTGAGCTGGGGAAAGTTGAATCATCTGGAAGAAAGTGGTAAAAGAAATAGCCATTCATCGTGGTCCCATCTCCCTGGTTCCCTCCTTTCTGCCTGTGTGACACCCACTCCCTCAAGAGCCTCCTGGCATCCGTTCGCAACTAGAATTGGGGGACTAAGGAGGGTTAAAGAACGCCACTAGTGAGAGCTTCTCTCAGAAATTCCCTTGGTGTGCTGGGGGTTTGGGTGACATTATTTCCAGGCTTAAGCTGCTAACTGGCTTCCTGATAAATCTTGTGGCCGGACTGTGTGAGATTGAGAGTGTAACTAGGGATAGAGCTGGCAGCTGCCTGGAATGCTGGCTTTTTTTTTTTTTTTTTTTTTTTTTTGGGTGTGTGAAAGGAGGGAGAGGGTTTGAACGTTTGAACGGAAAGATTGCTTCAGACTGAGCTAGGAGGAACATTCACAAGCGTCACCTCCCATAGCTTTGAAATCTGTCTGATCCTCCTTAGGCCCTGGGTTTGTGCCTAGGAGAAAAAGAGAGGCTGGGGGGTTGAGGGAGAACTGTCTGCTGGGGGATCCTGGGCCCCACCTATTGAGGGGCTGTAGGTCAGAGTAAGCAGTGTCTGGGACATGGCTGGTGTTTCAGAATGTCCACGATACTGCTTGTTCTGACCTATTTTTATTTTTATTTTATTTTATTTTTAAGACAGAGCCTAGCTCTGTCACCCAGGCTGGAGTACAGTGGCGCGATCTTGGCTCACTGCAACCTCCATCTCCTGGGTTCAAGCAATTATCCTGCCTCAGCCTCCTGAGTAGCTGGGATTACAGGCACATGCCACCACGCCCAACTCATTTTTGTATTTTTAGTAGAGATGGATTTCACATGTTGTTCAGGCTGGTCTCGAACTCCTGACCTCATGATCTACCTGCCTTGGCCTCCCAAAGTGCTGGGATTACAGGCGTAAGCCATTATGCCTGGCCTATTTTTATTTCTTTTTTAATTTTTTGTAGAGACAGAGTCTCACTATGTTGCCTAGGCTGGAGGCTCCTTAAACCTCACCACTCCAGGTCTTGAACTCCTAGGCTCAAGTGATCCTATCTCCTCGTTCTCTCAAAGTGCTGGGATTACAGGCGTGAGCCACCGTGCCCGGCCCTGACCTCTTTTTAGTTTATTTATTGTGGTTTTTTTGTTTTGTTTTGTTTTTTTGAGACGGAGTCTCGCACTGTTGCCCAGGCTGGAGTGCAGTGGCACAATCTCAGCTCACTGCAACCTCTGCCTCCCGGGTTCAAGCAATTCTTTTGCCTCAGCCTCCCAAGTAGCTGGGATTATACACTGTTGCCCAGGCTGGAGTGCAGTGGTACAATCTCAGCTCACTGCAACCTCTGCCTCCTGGGTTCAAGCAATTCTTTTGCCTCAGCCTCCCAAGTAGCTGGGATTACAAGCGCGTCACACCACATCCGGCTGATTTTTGTTTCTTTAGTAGAGAAGGGGTATAACCGTGTTGACTAGGTTGGTCTTGAACTCCTGACCTCAGGTGGTGATCCTCCTACCTCAACCTCTCAAAGTGCTGGGATTACAGGTGTGAGCCACCATGCCTGGGTTATTATGATTTTTTAAACATTTTATGTATTTGAGATGCAGTCTTGTTCTGTCTCCACTCCCAAGGTGGCGTGCAGTGGCACGATCTTGGCTTACTGCAACCTCTGCCGCCCAGTTCAAGCGATTCTTCTGCCCCAGCCTCCTGAGTAGCTGGGATTACAGGTGCCTGCCACCGTGCCCAGCTAATTTTTGTATTTTTAGTAGAGACGGGGTTTTGCCTTGTTGGCCAGGCTGGTCTTGAACTCCTCAGGTGATCCGCCCTCCTTGGCCTCCCATTGTGCTGGGATTACGGGCGTGAGCCACCACGCCCAACCCTGACCTCTTTTTTAAAACCTCACTTTGTGGGGCCACTCTTGGTTTTCCTACCAAAATGCTTGACTTGTTAAGCCATAAACATGGAATGATCTTTTTTTGTGTGTGTGTGACGGAGTCTTGCTCTGTCCCAGGCTGGAGTGCAGTGGGCCGATCTCAGGTCGCTGCAACCTCCGCCTCCTGGGTCCAAGCAGTTCTCCTGCCTCAGCCTCCTGAGTAGCTGGGATTACAGGTGTGCGCCACCACAGCTGGCCAATTTTTGTATTTTTAGTGGAGACGGGGTTTCATCATGTTGGCCAGGCTAGTGTTGAACTCCTGACCTTGTGATCCTTCTGCCTCAGCCTCCCAAAGTGTTGGGATTACAGGCGTGAGCCCCTGGGAATGATCTTAAGATACAAAAATATGGGGTTCATAACCCCTTAACCTTGGCACAGATAAAAATGTATACCCTTGTGCTGGGAGTGACAGGTGATTCCGAGGCCCTTTTGTGTGGGCTGGTAAGGGGCGGTGTTGGTGATTCAGAGGCTGTGCCCGAGACAAGGCCGGTGAGTCCAGCAGCTGCAGGCTGACCTCCGGAAGCCCCGTCTCCCTCGGGGAGGTGCTGGCAACAGATGTAGGAACGGGCTTTGCTTTGTGATGTCCATGTATGATGGGAATGGGGTTAAGTCCACCCTTGCAGGAAGCTCTGGTGACTGAGTCTGGAACGTGCGGCATGTGCTGGTGTGTGCCTTGAGGCATTGGAGCCGGCGGTGTGGACCTTGGGCTCCCCCCAGGACGGGCAGGGCTCACTCTCCCCACTCCGCTGTGTTTCTGGCTTCCAGATGGGTGGAACCAGCAGCTGTGTGGAGGCCTGAGCTGTGTGCTGGCTGGGCTGTGTAGACACAGAGGTTTGAGACTGCCCTTCCCCAAAGGAAGCTGGAGGCTCCTTACACCCTGCTGCTCCTCGGGCCTGTCTGTGAAACCTGGCTCACCTGGCCCGCGGGGTTGGCTGTTGGTGGTCACTGGGCACTTTGTAACCAAGCAGCATCCTGCGTTTTCCTGTCTAACAAACTCCGGTGTCTGCACCCGTGACTGCTGTACATCAAGCCCTGGAAATCAAGTCAAGGGCTGAAAGTTCGGCCAAAAGTTCATCTCTGACTCAGAATCCCGTGTTTACCAAAGACCAGTTGGGGCTCTGTGGGTGCCGATCGCCCTGCTTATCTGGGTGGGTGTTAAAACCCAGCCCTGCAGTGCATAATTACATTCCGGGTGCCCCTAATAACAACCTGCGAGTGCAAGATGAGGTGTCTCACCTTATCCCGCTCAGCTGAAGACATTGGGGCCTGTCACATTTTGAGACCCCAGACCTATCAAGCACACAGAGAACGTGATAGTGCTCACTCCGCCCCGGCTGCCCAGGGGTGGCCGCTGTCATGTGCGCAGTCCACCTGAGGTCTGAGCTGGCTGTTGGGCCCCTCAGGTGTCTCTGTGTGTTGCATTTTTTTCTCAGAGGAGAAATCTGCGGATTGGGGCGCATCCTGCTCAGACCTGCCCGTGTCTCTGGTCCAGTGGACTTTGATCCAGGGGCCTAGGGTACAGCCAAGCCTTCACTGCTGCCTCGGCCCTTTTCCGCCTCTGTGATTGTCGCCAGTGTGTTGTAACTGATCTGATCTGGGGAAACATCGTGTTGGAGTGTGCTGCCAACGTCCGCAGTAGGATTTCGGAGGCAGCTGCAGGTTTCGCCGCTGCCATGGGCATAGCTTAAAGGAGGAGCTCAGAGTGGCCTCTATGTTTCTCCTTTCCAAGCCCCTGAGGTCTCTAAGCTCCAGGAGGGTTGGATGGGGAAGCATTGCCCCGGGGTGGGGGTGGGGTGGGTGTCAGGAGCTCAAGAGGCTCTGGAGGCATCTCAGCTGGACTTGAGCTCTCCAACTCTAATGGCTTTTTAATGTGTGAGCTGAAGTGTCAGGGGCGGTCTCTTCTGGTTCTCTTTCAAAGCTGTCCCCGGAGAGCGGAGAGCGTATGGAAGAATGTGGTGGCCAGGGCTACAGCGGGTTTCTCTCTCTCCCTTCTCTCCTGTCCTCTTCTTCCTCTCTCTCTCTCTCCCCCCGTCTTCTTCCTCTCTCTCTCTCTCCCCCCGTCTTCTTCCTCCCTCTCTCTCTCCCCCCGTCTTCTTCCTCTCTCTGTTCTCACTCTTTCCTTGTCTTTCTCTCTGTCTCTCCCTTCTTTTGCCTTCTCACCTCTTCTTCCTCTCTCTCTCTCTCTTCTCCACGCCTTCTTCCTGTCTGTCTGCCTGCCTGCCTGTCTCTCTCTTTCTCTGTCTCTCGCCTTTTGCAGGGCTGGATTTGGCAAGCACTTTTTCTGAGCGCTGCAGCTTGGTGCATTTCTGCTCATTTCCTGTTAAGCAGTACCCAGGGCTCCCTGAACTCAGGCTCTGGGAGGACGGCCCTGTCTTCCTTTTCCTCTGCACTCCTAGAAAAACCTGCTGACCAGGCCCTGAGAGCGGGGTCATGGGGAGACTTCCTCACCACAGCAGGAAAATAGACCGACCGTTTCCTCCATTGGACCTGACTCAGCAGCAGCCCACTGACCGCCTGGGAGAGAGGGCTCCCGCCTGGCGGGCCGCAGTTCCACACGTGGGTAAGGGGACAAAGCACCCAGCAGGGGTCATGCCGCGTGTCTGTAGGGGCGGTGGTCATGGCAGATACTCAGGATCCAGACGGCCTCAGGCCAGCGAGGGCATGGGGTGAGTGGGCCCACTCCCCTCCCTGGGCCGGAAACGGGCGTCTTCTCTGCCCTGGCCCGAGTGGACAGATCCCCACGTAGTTTCAGGCTGATGGGAGTGGTTATTCCATTGCCTTTGCCACTGGATTATGAGCCCATTGCCGTCAGAGCCAGGCATTTCTGCTCATTGCTGCATCCCCAGTGTTTGGTTTAATGGCTAGCCTGCCCCAGGAAGCCAGTAAATATCACATGGAAGGACGGATGGGCCACTGTGACCCCCACCCTACAGCGGATGGCTGTGTGTCAGGTTTATGTGAGCACGCCCTAGAGGAAGAGAAGCATGTCCCCACCTGGCCTGGGGTACAGTTCAAGCTCTCAGCTGACTTTCGGGAGCTCCCGGAGCCCCTGCCTTGGTCCCAGCTTTAAATGCTACTCTTCCCCTGCATAGGGAACTCACACAGTCAACCCCTCCCGCCCATCCTGTGTGGGGCCCTGTGCTCTCCTGCCTCCTGTCTATGTCACTGGCCTCTTCTACCTCCCAACCCCACTCTCTCCCCACTTCCTGTCTGCCCTATAATGAATGCGTTTCTATCTCCCCTTATCCTTGGCATCTTCTGGGGCTGCATGTGGGAACTGAGTTCTCAGCCCTTGGAGCATCTGGCCTTGGAGTCCCCCACCCACACACCACACGCTAGTGTTTGTGTGAGGTGCTCTCCTCCTGTCGGATGGCAGCTCCTGAGACTGGGTTGTGCCCGGGCATGTGTGATGGGCCATGTTCCCCTGGGCACTAGCCTGCTGATGAGGTCGCCAGAGACGCTCCCTGCAGAGGCTGAGCTGGGGGGCTCCTTCTCAGAGTGGGGGGCTGTCCTCCACGGGGCCCCTGCAGTGTCCCTGGTGGTGGCTCAGCAGCAGCCCTGGTCCGCCGACCAGGCGTCTGACCAGGCTGTGACAGAACACCAGGGGGGCAGGTGGCTGGCAAGGCCTCGGAGAACTTGGTTGGGAACAGGTCCAACTGCTCTGAAAAAATCAGCAGCTCGGAGAATGTTTCTTGTGGTTTAGGGTGTGTGTCCAACTCCAGTCACCTGACCAACTGACAGTCACCTGAACTTGGCCGGGTCAGAGGGGCCTGACTATGTCACAGGCAGTTTCTGACCCGGAGCCTGCCTGAGCAGGGTCCCGAGGAAGCCGAGCCCAGACGTCTGCTTCCCCCCTTGACTGAGGCCAGGCTGAAGTGTACCTGCTGCTGCCCGGCTGGGCCAGTCTGCTCAGAGTTGGTGGTTCCCTGGCTTGAATGCTTCCCCAAGCGAAACCATTCCCGGCCTCCCCAGCCCTGTTTGCCAAGATTCTTAGGGCTTTCGCCATGGCTGGGCCTGGCTACTCGTTGTGCAGCTCCTTCCCTGGCCTCGGTGCCCAGGCGCTGCAGTGACTTCTCTCTGATTGCCACAGTCAGCCCTGCAGCTCCTCCCCGTTCTCCCTGTGGACAGCCCCTTCTGTCTCTGAGCCTGCTGTCTCTTGTGCGTTCGCCACCCCTCTCTGTAGCTGCCTTCTAAGCCTGCCTCCCCTGTCCCGGCGTTCAGACGTGACACTCTCATGACTCGCAGACCACAGCATGCAGCTGGCCAGCGGTAATGCCCTGAACCGACAGCCAGGGTTCATCGCCTGTCCTTTAGCTTGAACCCATTGGTTGATTCGGCCTCTTTCCTCTTAAATTACTTTTATTTTATCACTTTTAAAATTTATTTTAAAGGGGATAGTGGTGTTTTTCCTTGCTCAATAACAGTAACTGGAATAGGCCGGACACAATGGCTCATGCCTGTAATCGCAGCACTTTGGGAGGCTGAGTCAGGTGGATCACAAGGTCAGGAGTTTGAGACCAGCCTGGCCAATATGGTGAAACCCCCTCTCTACTAAAAATACAAAAATTAGCTGGGCATGATGGCGTGTGGCTGTAGTCCCAGCTACTCAGGAGGCTGAGGCAGAAGAATTGCGTGAACCCAGGAGGCAGAGGTTGCAGTGAGCCGAGATCGCACCAGTGCACTCCAGCCTGGCAACAGAGCGAGACTTCATCTCAAAAAAACAAAAACAAAACAAAATTTGCCGGGTGTGGTAGTGTGCATATCTGTAATCCCAGCTACTCGGGAGGCCGAGGCGGGGGAATCACTAGAACCCTGGAGGTGAAGGTTGTAGTGAGCCGAGACAGCACCACTGCACTCCGTCTCAAAAACAAAACAAAACAAACAAAAAACCCACACAGTAAGTGGAATAACAAATACAACAGCAACAAAACAATGGAATAAAATCTTCCTGGATACCCCACCCCTGAGCCTGAGGTGTTCTCTCTTGTGAAAGAGCTGTTCAGGCTGGACATGGTGATTCTTGCCTGTGATCCCAACACTTTGGGAGGCTGAGGCAGGAGGATTGCATTAGCCCAGTTGTTCAAGCTCATTTGGGCAATATGATGAAACCCCGTCTGTACAAAAATTAAATTAGCCAGTCATAGTGGTGCACACCTGTAGCCCCAGCTACTTGGGAGGCTGAGGTGGGAGGATCACTTAAGTCCAGGAGTTCGAGGCTGCAGTGAGCTGTGATCGTGCCACCGCCCTCCAGCCTGGGCAACAGAGCAAGAACCTGCTTAAAAAAGAAAAAAAAATCTGTGCTATAGTAGTGCCCACCTGGAAGTTCCTTCTTGCCAGAATAAGAAATATGGAAGGGGAATTGCGGCAGTTGTGTTCTGACCACGTGATTCGTGTGCCTTGTGCCTGTGTTAGCTGCCACACTGTGGGAAATGCCTCACAGAAGGCACGTTGCCTTTTCCCTTGGGGCCTGCTGCCATACCCTCTGCAGTCTCGTCTCATAGGATCGAGGGATCCCGCACACTGGGATTCAAGCTCAGGAAAGAGGGCTGATGGCTTGGTAACAGCCAGGTCCTGAGTGCCTGGGGAAAGGCATGGAGGCTGGAGACCCTGCAGTCAGCATTCTTAGGGAGTTCCCAAATATCTCGGGGCACGGTGGCTCACACCTGTAATCCTAGCTCTGAGGGAGGCAGAGGCAGGAGGAGCACTTGAGGCCGGGAGTTCGAGACCTGCCTGGGCAGTATAGCAAGACTCTGTTCTCCAGGAAAAAAAAAAAGGTAAAAAAAGAAATAAAAAGAGTTCCCAAACATCACCCAAGCAGTAATGCAAATATCTTCCTCAAGGACACCCCCATCCAGCCCTGCCTGCTGGAAGCAGAACTGCTGACTGATTATTTTTCTGCTGTCATTTCGGGACTCTACCCCAGTACTAAGCAGAGACCCTTGTTCTCAGAAAGCCCCTGCGGAAGGAAGTTCTGGGAACTTTCTGCCCGCCCTCGCCGCAATCCCCTGCCACCCGCCTCTGTGGGATGAGGCCCCACGGCTGACTCAGGCAGGCATCCATCAGCCTAACAGCCTCACTCATCAGAGTCTCGATTGTTTGAAACAGACGGGCAGCCCTGGCCCTTCAAGACCAGCCTTTGTGGCTCAGAAGAGGGTAGCCCAGGGACCTGGATGGAATTTCTTCATCTCCCAGCCTTCACCCACCCCAGCATAAGATCGTCTTCATCCTCTCCTGAGGCCTCTGACGGTTTTCTCTGAGGTTGAGAATCACCGCTATTATATTAGGAAGGAAGAACAACCCCCAGAACTGCAGAGCAAGTCTCTTGCTTCTTGCTTACTCTGGTCAAGTCAGTGTTCCACCCATGAGGAACCTTGGAGCTGCCGGCCCCCTGGCTGAGCATAGTGTGGGTGTCCAGGAGGTATGTACTGCCCACTGCAGAGGCCGACTTGGAGGCCGCTGGAATGCTGCCCTGTGGGTGGTTTTGCTCCCCCAGCTTTTACATTTTTATTTCATACTTGCAGAATCCTGTGTATTTTTCCAGTGTTCTCCCACGCCCAGCCTTCCCACAACAGCCTCCCCGGCTAGCCCCAGAGCACCCTGTGCCCGTCAGAAGAAGGCACTAGTGGGCCCCTCTGTTGAGTGGGGTCCCTGTGTCACCATCTAGACTGGCTGAGGGTTCCATAGTGGGCAGCTGCACAACCAGGGAGAGTCCTTGGGGCCCTGAGAGGGAGGGCAGGGGAAAGACCTTTGGTCCGTCTGCTGCAATCACGTTTCTGGAGCCCAGGAGTCCACTCGGCTGTCAGAATCCAGGAGTCCACTCGGCTGTCAAGAGGAGCCAGTAGGGGGTCGCCGTCCTTCCAAGAAGGGTTGCTTCTTACTGCATTCAGAACACGTTCCCTGGGCCGCACGCTGGTCGGCACCAATATGTGGCACAGGACACCTCCCTTGTTCAGGCACCTCATAAAGGTTGTATCATAAAGGGTTTCAGATACAGAAAGACACCTAAGAATGACCAGTTGATGACCAGGTGCCCACCACGCCACCCAAATGAAGCCAGAGCAGGGCAGGCACACCTTCACTGTGCGTGGGGTCACTGCTCCAAAACGTGCGGGGTTGTGCGGCAGTCTACACGGCCTGTCAGCAGGATCATGAGCTTTCTTGCTTGGTTTCTTGTACCCTACTTTTTTTTTTTGAGATGGAGTTTCTCGTCACCCAAGTTGGAGTACAATGGAACAATCTCAGCTCACTGCAACCTCCCCCTCCCGGGCTCAAGCAATTTTCCTGCCTCAGACTCCCGAGTAGCTGGGATTACAGGCACCAACCACCACACCTGGATAATTTTCATATTTTTAGTAGAGACAGGGTTTTACCATGTTGGCCAGGCTGGTCTCGAACTCCTGAGCTCCATCGATCTGCGTGCCTCGGCCTCCCAAAGTGCTGGGATACAGGCGTGAGCCACCGTACCTGGTCACCTGCTTTTTAGGCTGAGCACTGCTTGTGAGTACCATTCACACTGGCACACGATGCTCCGCTCACATCCGCAGCTGTGTGGCTTTCCCT